ACTGTAACAACTATTCGATTTTGACTTCTTACTCTTGATGCACTTGTTCAACACTCCTGAAAACGTTTCTCCGGAACTACACTCGAAACCTGCCAGAGGAAATGATTGCAAAAACTCGCTAGTGCCTTTATTTGCGTTTAAACTTACCGCATACTCCGTCCACGGCAACAGGACTATTTGAAGGACAGGTGCACTGAGTTAAAAAACAGCGCGATTCCGCGTGAGCTGCAGTGCACTGCTGATCATGGGTGCATATGCTGTTTCCGGGGGCGATTACTGGAAGGCACTGGCCGAGCTCGCTAACCCATATCGTTCCTCTCTGCGTACAGTGTGTATTCACGAAAGCTACATTTTAAAATTTATCTTAGTTAGGAACGATCAAGTCATTCACGTACTGCATTTTCCGTCATCCGTAGCAACCATTCCATAAACGCAGTGGCAGTGCAGATTTACACAGAATGCACCAGGCTCTGCGCCACTGCATTGTTGAGAATACTGACATGGAGATCCTGGCCTTTGCACTGCAAAGCAAAGTACTATCCATCAAATAAGAAGTAGCAAATCTTACCGCGATAACCGGTTTCATTGCAGTATATATATATATATGACTAAACAGCTAACTAATTAACCAAAAGATGAAAATTATCATGTAGCAGGAGCATCAAGCAGCAAATCATTGTCATCACCGTTCATCTTTACAACTACATTTCAAATTCATTTTCATAAAGATATAAAGTATGACACATTGGCTTGCAACGCCGCTAAGTTTCAGGCAGCTTGACAAGGATAATGGTTTCTCCAATTCTTTCGAAACATTCATCCATAGTTTTCGTCAAAAACATCAAACCTACAAACTTTCGTTGCTCCAGCAGCATTCAATCGTCTCCCATTTTGTGATATATTTTGCGCAACGACCCATCAAGAGAAACGTACCTGTTACATACTAAAAATTATTATTGCCCTTTCTTTAACTCTCCCTTACTTCTGCTAAGGAAATCTAGATTTAAAGGCACATCTGTAGATTAGAATTCAGTGGCAGACTTTAAGTGTTGATTTAAGTGCTGCAATTCCGCTTCATGTGCTCAGTCGGGTATATTCAGCCATTGCAAATTTTTACAATTTTTGCGTAATAAAATCCCCTTTATGAATGCAATCAAAAATCTGGTTCCGAATTTCCCTAATGTAGGTCAGTTACCGAAAAACAACAATTGCTGAGAATGTTTATACGTGCAATAATTTTCCGAAACGGCAAATGAGAATCACTTGTCAAAAGGTTATTTAGTCTCTAAAGATGGCAGTTAATGAACAACAGCATGCTAAAGAAAGTCTGCGGGAGGCAGACAGAAAGAAATGCTGGTTAGCTGTTTATCAGTTTTCTACAAATGTCACTTTGAAAAGTATTTAATGTGTCGTTGTTTCTCTTCCGCCATTTTATGAAATGAACTTCCTTACCCGTCATGCATCCACCAACCTCTGACACGTACACTTCATCTTGGCCACATTCGAACTTCGAGAAAACTTTCGTCACTAAAAACGAGCATCTGAATAATTCAGTGAGCAATTGTGAACCTTGCTGCTGTGTTCAAGTTTTTCTGCATAGGGCACCTCGCTGAATGTCAAAACGCTTAAAAGAATGAAAGGATTAGATCAAATGTTCTGCGATAATGCAGAACCTTAAGAAATATTGGGAAATTTTTGTGAAGCAAAAGGTCCCTAAAACTCCATAAGAACAGTGAGAAAAATCAGGAAAATTCCAATTAAGTGCATATTACACCTACTTTATGTAGTTTTTGCTTCTAACATTTAGAGGAGTGTGCTCTAGACTGCGATTGTCTTCTGCCGAAGCTTAAATTCTGGAACAGTATCGGGAACGTTGGAAGCACTGTCTGACGTCTCTACCTCTGAGACGAGAGAGGAGAGGCGGGTATGGAAGATGAACAAGATTCAGAGGAAACCTCCATGTTAGCTGAATAATTTTGAAGGTTTGTTTTCTCGTCACCAGTTCTTAGATATCGTTGTTACCATTTAAAATTTAAATATTCGAAACAAACTCTCCATAATTCCAACCTCGAGTCAACTGCGCGATAAGTGAATGAACAATATATGGACCAAACAGTAGAATGAACTACGGCAAAACATATTCTTCTTAGCTTCTATTACGGCATTATGAGCCTGTAATGTACCTTAGAGCGATCAGCCAACGAGATGGTGAGAACCAGGTATGATAAATCTTGTGCAGCCTTTAAGATAAATATATTTAGAGAAGGACACTGATTACAAATCCAAACATGGGAATTGAAGGTTAACGAGATTATTTACATCCGGAAGAGAAAAGTTATGAAGAATATTCTACAGAGTACTTTCTGTAATCGCACAGCTGCCCCTGAGGTATACGATGATAATGACTGTTTGTTATTCTTGAAGACTGATTATGCGAAAACGGGGAAGGACGCTTCAGTGGTGGTTTCGATCAGTTCGTCGGGATCAAATCATCAGGTTAAACAAAGGTTTTACAGCATGATTATACCACTGCTTCTTGAACAGCACAGAACGCTAAGATTCACGGCATGTGCTTACCG